GAGAGAGAGAGAGAGAAAAAGAGAAAGAATCGAAGTGTTTTAAACGATTTTGCCAATTCTATTGTCGATGGAAACAAAATATTGAGCACGCTTCAGTATTAAATGTCGATCATTCATCAAGCGTAGTTCACTTTGCGTATACACTTCATCGCGTAAACTTACGAGATTCTCTCGAAACTCGCTAAAATAGAATTTCACGTGGTGGAATAGATGTTCCTCTTGTTCGTGAAGGACACTAACCTCACGCCTGCGCTTTATTACGATCCAGAAAGCTCATCTGTGGAAGCAAATTCGATGATCCAGTTAACCGGTTAGTCGCTTTCCGAATTCCGCAATAGATACGGATTTCTATCACGATTTTTATTTTCCGGTGAAAAATAATTTCCAGTGGAATTTTAATCGTGAAAATTTGTGTATTAAATTTTTCGATATCGAATCTCTTTAACTCCTCGTCGTTTTTATGATATACATAATTCTGTTTTTACACGTTAGGAATCGTTTATATATTTATTTTCCTTTCTCAAAAAAAATCATATGAAATGTAACGTACTATACAGTGATGAATCAGTGAAAGACTTATTTAAAAAAATAATTCGTGTTTTAAATATTTGTTATACATTTTTATTGATAAAAGAAAAAAAAAGTGGAAAATTCAGTTGAAAGTAAGAAACGTGAGAAAATGAAATTCCATTGATAAAGACGGAAATTAATAAGTGAAATTAATAAGTGAGAGATAAGATGATGATAAAATAAAGAAGGAAAAGAAGTTTATTAAAATGTAATTCGTTATAAAAATGTCTTCTTTTGTTCGTGGCAAATAAATGATTCGTATCAATGAATCTCAGAACCAATGACATCGTCAACTTCCTACGAAGGTAAGCTCTCTTCCTGTTAGTTCTAGGTAAGGATTCGTGTGAAAGGAAGGATTGTGCTGATGATAACAGCGCGCGTTAAAACAGCTGACAAAACACGAATTCGTTGGTTCGTTTATCGTGAAATTTTGTAACATTACGCCGAATTATAAGTAAGAAATTATAATTTTCATTCGTGGTTGAATGATTGAATGATATGAAAAAATATATATACTATAAATCCATTATTATTATTTCTTATTATTTAATTAAAAATTAAGTTTATATCAAATTCTTATATTTCATATTATATTTTTTCTATATTATTATATTATTATATTTATATTATTAATTATATTATATTATATTATTCTATATTATTATATATTATATTCTATATTATTTAAGGACAGTAAAAAAAAAAAAAGAACGCGATAAAATCACATTAATTATTTACGATAATTAAATTGGAAAGAATAGTTGTACATCGATTGTCTCTTATTAAACGTAGTTTCTTCGAAATCTGTACGAAAATTTTGAAGACATTCTCTCTTGAACTCTGCGATCCCTTAAGAACACAAATTGAACAGAAGGTAAAATCAGACTGTAAAGTTTACTCTTAGGTTGAAAGAGTTTACCGTTTCGTGTGGCGAAAATAGATTTCTCTTCGATACTCAATGTGGAGAAGAACAAACGAAAGAACTTTGTTGTACTTTTTCGGAAATTAAGAAAAAAAAAAAATCATGTCAAAAAAAAAGAAAGTGAATAAATATTGATCAAAGAAAAGAAAGAAAGAGCATTTTTCTAGATAAAATTAAAGATGATTTTAATTCACGTATTATAAATAGCGTAAAATCATTCTTAAATACAATGATTAAATATTTCGATAACACAAGTAAATTTTATAAACGAATTACAATATATAATTACGACTCGATTGTTTCACGTAAAATTGTGTGAAATTATAAACGTGTATCAATTGTGTGAACATAGTTGAGTAATAAAACTACTTAAAGATATGCGAATTAAGTGGGCGTGTCGTGAACAAATAGGCATGTTTCGCAAATAATGTACTGTATCGGATTTCACATCCTGTATACACATGCACATATTCGATCTTGTCACCGTAGGGAGCGGCTTTGCTTTTGCTAATTATACTATCACTTATCAATTGCTATTAAAAATACAGGGTGTTAAATATATTCGTCGGGTGTTCCTTTAATTATAGAGAACCAAACAAACACAAAAATTGATGGTTGACACTTGTTTATTATTGTTTTCATTAAATGAAGCGAGATGGCGGTGTGACACAGATATTTCTATTTCCATTTTACTCTTCTTTTTATATAACAATTTCTCAATTTTTATTTTCGCCTCTAAAAGATTTATTCCACAAACAATTAACATCCTATAAATATATATATTCGGATATGAATGAATTCTTTGTAAGAAGATAAATAAAAAAAAATATATTAATTTTTTATTCTCCACTTTGTTTTCAAGAAAATTAAATTTGAAAATTCACGATCATTTCTCGATCTAACATATCGTTGATCTTCAAGTCGCTTTAAAAAATATTAATAAAAATTTTTTTAATTTTTCAACACATCGTTCATTACATTACATTCTATTAAATTTCCCATGTATAAATATAAACACATGTGTAAAACTGTTTTTTTTTAAGTCGATAAAAAAAATTCTCTTCTTATCCGTGATGATACAAGCGTCCAGTTTTTACGCTCCTGTGCAAAACGACACCTGTCTACCATGCTGTCTGCAGATGGAGTATTGGATGGCGAGCAACGAGACCGGTCACCATGGTAGAGAGGAGACAATCCAGGAGGTCCTCAGAGATCCAGGATCGGCGGTGTTGTTCGTCGGATATCCGCGATGGCTTTTGCACTTTGCTGCCGGCTGTTGCATACTTTTCATGCTCATCGGCATTCCCGGCAATCTCTTCACCATCGCCGCTCTTTTTCGCACCAAAAAGGTCAGGGTTTGTACTTTTTCATTTTCTGATTTTAAATTAAGAGATTCTCATTTCTTGTTGTAGTTTGGTAAAATTATTATTTTATTTTTGTATAATAATATTTTTTTCAAATTCCTTTTCCTTTTTGCAATTAATTTTATTAACGAAACAGGGTATTTCTTGTAATTTAATCAATATAATGAAAGATTATTTAATTTTTGCTTTTATCGTATGTATATTGTTAAGTAAGATAAAATTATCGATGGAATCTCTCTCATTTAATAATATTTTTAATACTTAATTCCAATTTTATTCTAAAATAATTAATTCAATAAATTACGATATGATTTAATTTATAATCCAATATAATAATTTGACTAAATTATTTGTTGTTTTTTTTTTTAAATTAGGAATATCTTTATTCGAAAGAGAAAAAAGAAAAAAAAATTCAAACCATTCGTTGTTAAACTATTAGATATTCAATGAAATACGTATTTATATCTATTAGATAGAAAAATATTTGCAATAAAATGTTTCATCAATTTCTCTCGTTCTCTTATTGTAAGCGTAAAAAATTTCGTACGATAATATAGCGGCAAATATAAATATATGACGAAGCTAAAAATTCCAAATGACGAATTTTTTACATGGAACAGAGCACGTTACGGTTACTCAAATTTCTACTATTCCACTTAATGCTATTCTATTCTAGATGTAGATTAAGTTCATAGTAAGTAGTTCACCTCGAATCTCGTTTTAAAACAATAATAATTTAAAAAAATAAAATAATATAAAGGATAAAAATTATAATCTCAATTGGAAAAAAAATAAATACAGATCAATGATTTATTTTTATAATTTATTTCGAAAAAAAATCAATATCAATTTTGTCAAAATCGAAAATATCTGCATATTTTTAATAATTGTGAAAAAATTGAAATATATCGTTTTGACGAGTTAGATAATTACAGTATCAATATTACGATAAGATAATAAATATAAACATAACACATGTGATAAAATAAAATAACTTAATGAATAACAAATTCATTCAGTATTCTTTTTTTTTTAAATACATCGTTAAAAAATTAATTTACATTCCTTTAAATTGCATTATTTTTTTTTTTATGCATTTTGATATTATAAAACGAATTTAAAATTTGCAGAAAATTTACAAGCCGTGGGAAATTGAATATGTTTCGTATATTTATGTTTCGACAAGAGTGAAACGTGTCAAATTTATAGATATATTATATACGTTTACGAACGCGGATATATGTCTGTCGAGAAAGTATATTTACAAAAGTGTTTCGATCGTCAAATAAAAGGTCGCCATACCGCGATAATTTTTCATTCCCTTTTCGACGCGCGTACAAGCATGTACTCTTCTTCGAGTTTCTTTGCAGTATTGTGCAAAAGTTTTAAGAGGCCCGGGCATGATCAATAACATTGTTAATCCTTTGCACATTTATGTGCATTTTTTACAAACAAAGTTGAAGATAAAAATTTTTGTAAAATTAATATTATTAATCGTGCATTATTCTTTTTTTTTTATCGAAAATTGTAAAATATTATTGAGAATATTATCGTAGAAAGCAATTTTACTAGTAGAATTTTAGAAGATTTTATTTATCGTACGTTTGTTTTAAACATGATGAAAGTTTTTGTAAAATTATTAATCGTGGAGATAATTTTCATTGAAAATATCGTTGTAAAATAATATCAAGAATATTATTGTAGGACACAATTTCATTATAGAATTATTGTAGAATTTTTCTATACACCATAGAAAATTTATAGTTGATTATTTTTTATTTACAAGATCACAAGAATGAACATATCTTAATTTAAATAAAAATTAAAGAATAATTAAAATATATATATATATATATATATATATATATATATATATATTATTTAATTATAATATATATATTAATATATATATAT